TCTATAGTTGCCTTTGTTGTTTTAGAACTTGTAACCTCTGGATTCATGTCTTTCACAGAAACAACAAAGTGATTCGATTTGCTTTTCCCACCCCTCTGGTTAACTCGGTTGTTTTTTGGATCCTTGAAATCATGAGAGTGCATTAGCAGTCTGTTGTATTTTCCCAGAAAGGAGATTAACCAAAAATTAACCTAGCGACAATGATAAAACCCAGAGAGTCATTATGCAATTTTTGTCTTTCATAGACCATAAACACCCCAATTGAAGATAATTTATGGTCCCTGGGAAACCTAAGCCTGTAAAATATGCTTCCATACAGAATGTAAAACCTAATTTTCTAGGCTGACATCCTTCTTTACTCCATCTGCACAGAGTCCCCTCATTTAACTCCGTCTCTTGACAGAAAAAATCAGACATCCCACAAGCTGACAAATTCCTGGTTCCCAAACTGGGATCTGTGGGAGTCTTGTGGAACATATGGGTATGCATGGGAGGTCCAGAGTCTCAGGATCATCCAGGAGCAATCTTAGTTGCCTTAACTGAAGTATTAAAAGTTTCCATCCCAAAAGCAAAATTGTCAGAACCTCCATGCCCCATGTGAGCTAATCCCATGGTTTTGTTTCTTGAAAACTTAGAATATGGTTATGTGCAGGGGCTGATTGGAAAAATTGTAATTTGGTGTTCTTGGAAAATCTAGTAGGATTAGCTATGATTGATTTGCAAGGTGATTACATTGATATCACCAACTGGTGTCATCTTCTAGAACAGCGACTGACAGCCTGTTTTGGTATGACCCTTGAGCTAATAGTGGTTTATAAGTGGCTGTAAATGAAAGATGAGTATATGACAGAGACCCATGTAGCTTGCAAGCCTGAAATATGAATTCTCTGGCCCTTTACAGAAGAAATGTCCCAACTCCTGTTCTAGAAAGATTGCTCACTGAGGACTGCAGACCTAGTGCTTTCAAAAACAAGTTTGTCATCTTACTGATGCCTTGTTTTTATTTTATATACACAGAAAGCCCACAACATTACTTGATTTATTGGCAGATTTAATGGGTTGAATAGTGTCCTCTTACAAAAGACAGTAAATAGAGAAAACCATAGAAGAATCGATGCATTTGAGTTATGGTGTTGGAGAAGAATATTGAAAGTCCCATGGACTGCCAGAAGAACAAACAGATCTGTGTTGGAAGAAGTGCAGCCAGAGTGGCCTTAGAAGTCAGGATGGTGAGACTTTGTTTGTCACACTTCAGATATTTTCAGGAGAGACAAGTTTCTGGAGAAGGACATCATGCTTGATAAAGTGGAAGGTTGGCAGAAAAGTGGGGAGACCTCCAAGAAGATGGATTGGCACAGTGACAGCAGCAATAGGTTTAAAGGTAACAATTTTAAGGGTGGCATAAGGCAGAAGAGTGTTTCGTTCTGTTGTGCATAGGGTCACTTGAGTCGGAACTGACTTGACAGCCCCTAACAGCAAAAATAACCTGAAACCTCAGAATGTGACTTTGTTTGGAATAAGAGTCTTTGCAGGTATAATTAAAATAAGGTGAGTATCTTTCCATGCATTTGTGGCATGTTTGTATAGCATTTTTGGAGAAGTGCTTATTCATGTCCTTTTGCCCATATTTAAATTGGGCATATCTTTGTTCTGTATTTGCCTGTCACATAGTAGACAGTCGCTTCGAACATATTTATTTAATGAATAAATAAAGAATTAATCAGTATGTGAAATTTTATATCCATAATACCTATTATGGTGTTGGCAAAGAATATTGAATATACAATGGAGTAACCAAAAAAAATGAACAAGTCTATCTTAGAGGATGTATAACTAGAATGTTCCTTACAAATGAGGATGGTAAGACTTCATCTCGCTTACTTTGGACATGTTATCAGGAGGGACCATTTCCTGGAGAAGAACGTTATGCTTGATAATGCAGCAGGTCAGTAAAAAGGAGGAAAACCCTCAACAAGATGGACGGACAAACAAGATCACTATTACGAGGAGGGTGCATTCTATTGGACATGGGATCGCTGTGAGTTTGAGCCAACTCACTGAATTGGAACAAAAGCAGCAGTGTTGATTATGAGAGAGTGAATAACAGGGTCCAGGAAAGTAGAGCTCATGCTTGTCTTAATAATGGCTAGATGCCCAGTGCCTAGAAGACTGACTGGCAGCCTGGCATGGTGCAGAGGTCCAATAACTGTTGAGTGAATGAATGTTTCTTTGCACCATGTTGCATGATTTTAAAAAATTAAATAAGATACATGGTTATTTTGATGAGCATGGTATCAATGGGAAAACACAAGAAAATTTATGAACTGATAGCTTCTGATTCATACCAGTACAAGGAAGTCTCAGGACCCCACATGCTTAGAGTCGTGGCCACCACCTAGCTCACTTACATCATTGGCCCTATGGTTCCTCTCTTGCTGTTTTCAGTGCTTCTTTTTGAAATAATGATGTGAATATTCATTTAAAAAATCTTTGTCTAGTAAGTGGAAGCATATACTACTCAGATTAAGGCTAGCTTAGACAGAGGAAAGTTGATTACTAAACTGTTTCACTTCTGGAAAAAGTTCAAGTGTTGGGATAATCCTAAAAGAGTGAAACAAACCCAAACTGACTCAGGGCAACAAAGTCACCACTCAATTGAACAATAAAGAAAGTCTCCCAAAGCAGCAGGTTGGCATATTTTTCAAAGCTTAGACTGTTAATCAGCAACTGTGAAGGTTCTGATAGCAAATATAAATTGGCTACAATGGAAACAAAACTTGAGAGCTGTATAAAGACACTGAGTCTTGAGTTCAGTCATCTTTTGAAATCCTGAGTTCATTTACCAGTGATTGGTTCTGCAGGTTAATGTGCTGGACAGCAAGTTTGGTTTGAACCTCAAGGTCTGTGATTCAGGTTCACCAAGCCACTCCTCAGAAACTCTATCCAGGCTCGCTATGAGTCAGAGTTGACTCTAAGGTACTTAACAACACCAACAAATTGGTATGGCACTGTAGGATCAGCACTGGACTGCTAACCATGAGGTTGGTGGTTCAAACCCATTATCTGGTCCTTGGAAAACCTAAAGAGAGTCACTATGGGTTGGAAAAGTCCTCACCACTGGAGCAATAAACAACATTCTTATCAATGGAGAAAAGAAGGAAGTTGTCAAAGACCTCATTTTTGGATCAACCATCAACACTCATGGAAGCAGCAGTCAAGAAATCAAATAACATATTGCATTAGGCAAATCTTCAGCACAAGACCTGTTTAAAGTGTTGAAGAGCAAAGATGTCAGCTTGAGGACTAAGGTGTGCCTGACCCAAACCATTGTATTTTCAATAACCTCATATGCATGCGAAAGTTGGGTGGTGAATATGGAAGACTGTAGAAGAATTGAAGCTTTTGAGTTATGGTGTTGGAGGAGAATATTGAAAGTGCCTTGGGCTGCCAAAAGAACCAACAGATCTGTGTTGGAAGAAGTGCAGCCAGAGTGCTCCTTAGAGACCAGGATGGCCAAACTTCATCTCTCATACTTCAGACATACTGTCAGGAGGGACCAGTTGCTGGAGAAGGATATCATATTTGGTAAAGTGGAGGGTCAGAGAAAAAGAGGAAGAGCCCCAGTGAGATGGATTGGCAAAGTGGCAGCATCAGTGGGCTCAAGGTTGGCAACAATGAGGTTGACCCAGGACTGGGCAGTGTTTTGTTCTGTTGTGCATAGGGTTGCTGACTCGATAGCACCTAACAACAACAACCCAACGGCCATTCAGCCCCACCAGCTGCTCCTCAGAAACCCGATACGGGGTCACTATGAGTCGAAACAGCCACAACAGCTATTAACAACAACAATCCAGATGGAAACGTCCTTGTAAAAGGACAGCATGCTTGGTAAAGTAGAGGGTCAGCAAAAAGGAGGAAGACCTGCAACAAGGTGGACTGATACAGTGACTGCTGTATCCGTGGTCAAACATAGATAGCAACGATTGTGAGGATGGCAGAGAACCAGGCCTTGTTTCCTTCACTTGTACAGGGGGCTGCTCTAAGTATCTAACAACAATAGCATGTGTGAGGGGGCCTCATACGTTTGTGGAAAAAATGGAATTTTTCCATGAATGTTTTGAAACCTCCTGTATTGCATATATATGTTGTTGTTGTTGTCAGGTGCCATCGAGTCGGAACCGACTCATAGCAACCCTGTGCACAGCAGAACGAAACAATGTCCAATCCTGGACCAACCTCACTACTGCCGCCACACTCGATGCCATATTGCACATATATATATATATACACACACTTGATTTTATCCTTTAAAGAAAACAAACGTTTAATATAAGTTTAGAATCCTTTGGTGGTGCCAATGATTAATGCATTCAGCTGCTAACTAAAAGGTTAGCAGTTGAATCTACTCAGAGGTGCTTAGGAAGAAAAGCCTGAGGATCTCTTACTAAAAATCAGCCATTGAAAACTCTATGGAGCATGAGGTGTAGTCTGAGGTTTCCATGAGTCAGTCAACTCAGTCATCCAGCTAACTGGGACATAAATTTAATCATAGAAGTTATAAAAGTAGCTAGCGTTTGTTATTTTATATCCTGTATCTGATTTGTTGGAGTCCTGGTGTTGTGCTATCGGATAAATACTGGACTGCTAACTACAACGTTGACAGTTCAAATCCATCATTGACAGTTCAAATCCATCACAAACCTTATACAGGGTTTCTATGAATCTGAACCAACTCCATAGCACTTAGCAACAACATCATCGATTTATTGTGTTTAATTTTTTACAAAGATACTCTGAGCTAAGTACAGCTGTTGTCACCACTTTAAATCTGAGGAGAATAGAACTTTGTCTCCTATACTTTACGAACTGGGAGCAGCTGGAAAATCCTGACTCGCCTAGTCTTATTGCCTAGGTACATTATTGGAATACAGTACCAGAGTGGCACCTTACTATGAAGTGTAAAGATGTCACAGCCATGTCCTGTGTTTTGCCCCTTTTAGGTATATCAGGATTGGAGATAAAGAATGTGAATTTAACAAGAACTTTCGCCTGATCCTTCACACAAAACTGGCAAATCCTCACTATAAGCCAGAACTGCAGGCTCAGACAACCCTCCTCAATTTCACAGTCACAGAAGATGGGCTGGAGGCCCAGCTGCTCGCAGAGGTCGTCAGTATTGAAAGGCCAGATCTGGAGAAACTTAAGGTAAAAAACATTAAATCATCCAACACTTATCAAACTCCTGCTTTATACAAGTTCTGCTGCTAAACACAGTGGTATAATATAGGCTGGCTGTCCTCCAGGAATTCGTAATCTAGTTGTGAAAAGGGAGGCTACCTGTGAATAGTTAAGAAAGGATTCAAGGTTACTAAATTCTGAGTGGAGTCCTTGGATGATGTAAGTGGTTACCATGTTCAACTGCTACCTGAAAGGGTAGAAGTTCAAGTCCATCCAGAGGCCTAGTGATCTGCTTTTGAAAAAGCAACCACTGAAAATATTGTGGAGTGCAGTTCTACTCTGACATGCATTTGATCACCATAAATTAGAGTTAATATAGTGGCAACTGGTAAATTCTAGTTGTTAGTGATGTGCCTTAAAGTCGGTTCCAATTTCCAGCGACCCTGCATAGGGTTTCTGAGGCTGTAAATCTTTACGGGAGCAGAAAGCCTCATCATTAGTTGGGATTATACCAAAGGAAAAAGATGGGTTATCTGTAGATCCTGTTTAACATGTAGAACCAGAGCAAGCCAAGAAGAATATCAGTTACAGAACATAAGAACATAAGGCAGGAATGTGCCCTGGTAGAGTAGACGACATAGATCATTTAGCCAAGACAGAAGAATGAAAAAAGGAAGTATTAGAGTAAGACTGGAAAAATTAAGTATTTTGTAGACTGTTGCAACTAGTATTTAAAGGTAAATTTGTGGAGTTAAATACACTTACAAAGAATAATGTTAAAATAATTAAATTTAGTGTTGAATATAAAAAAAACAAGAAACAAAGAGTAAGGTAAAAAATGTAAGAAGAAAACCATAAAAAATAAATGAATACAAAGGGACTTCAAAAAAATTTATGAAAATAGGGGATTGATAATGGAAGTTTTCCCACCAGCTTTTTGAAGCCCCTTGTTTAAAAGCTGAAAATAGTAATATAGAAAGCAGAAAGACAATAGAGAAGATTAACAAAAAGCAGGAAAAAACTAATATAGTAGCAACATCCTTAGAAGGGTCAATCGAGAATAAATAATAAAGTACAGATAAACAGATTTTTTTTTTTAAAAAGGGGGCCATGTAACTACACATAGAGATAGAAATACATAAAAGGATTCTGTGTCCAACTTTCGAACAAATTTGGAATTTAAAAAAGTGAATGTCTTTACTGTGGAAATAAAGAATTTGCTTACTAATCTGAGTGAATTTAGAAATTTTAGATGAAACATTGCTTAAAATTAAAGCAGGGATCGATAATTCAGATGTTAGATGTCTATAATATTTTATGAAATAGATTCTTCTGTAGATTTATGACACTAGATTATATATACATATATATATATAGAGAGAGAGAGAGAGAGAGAATATGAATGAGTCCTGGTGTGGTGCTATGGGTTAATGTATCAGACTGCAAAGCTGTTTGAACTGCAAAGTCGGTAGTTCAAGCTCACCAGCTGCTCCTTGGAAACCCAAGGGGTCGGTATGGGACGGAACTGACTCGATGGCACTTAACAACAACAACAAATATATATATATATATATATATGTTTATACTCTGGTTCCTAAGGAACCACTCAATCTTAGCATGCCTTCTGAACTTAAATATATAGTTTCTAATAACTAATATGGTCTTAAGGTAGAATGTAGATGTAAGATCAGTCTGGACTGCTAACCACAAGGTTGGTGATTCAAACCACCAGTTGCTTCTGGCAAACCCTATACAGGGTTGCTTTGAGTCCGAACTGACTTGAAAGAACTTAGCAACAGCAATGGTCTGAAGGAGTCCTGGTAGCATAGTGTATTAAACACTGGGCTGTTAACCAGAAGGTCAGCAGTTCAAGTCCACCAGGCACTCCTCAGGAGAAAGATGAGGCTTTCTGATTCCGTGAAGCTTGACAGCCTCAAGAACTCTATTACAGGGTCGCTATGAGTTGGAATCAATTCCACGGCACATACCCACCACCACCAGTGTGGTCTTAATGTTGTATATACTGATTCTATGAAATTTTTGGTCAAAGAAACTCTCTATTAAAAACATCTCCCTACAACTAGATAAAGTTGTAAAGAAAGGATAAAGAAAGGATAAAGACACTTAGGCGTAGTGAGTTGGTATTAATGGTGGGGGAATAATTCAGGAAAGGGGGTAAGAATAGTAGTGTCATTTGAAGAATGTGTTCTATGTCACTGAATTGTTCACATAGAAATTGTTGCATTGGTTTATGTCTTGCTGTGTACATTTGTAACTACAAAACATACATTTTTTATAAATAGTATCTTTTCTAAAAATCTGTTTATTCACCATTACTCTCCCTTTTCCTGGTGTTTGCTAGCTGGTTTTAACAAAGCACCAAAATGACTTCAAGATTGAGCTGAAGCATCTGGAAGATGACCTCCTTCTGCGCCTCTCTGCAGCCGAGGGGAGCTTTTTAGATGACAGCAAACTAGTGGAGAGACTAGAGACCACAAAGGCCACTGCGGCGGAGATAGAGCGCAAGGTGGGAAGGGCAAAGAACCCTCCCTGGAGGTTCCTGACATTCTATTTCAATGAAATGTTCTAGGGAAACACACAATCAAGCTTGGCCATTCCTCTAAGAAGACTAACTTGTAGCATTGGTTAATATTTCCTTAAAAATGGGACTGTTTGGGATTCTGAATAGAGAAGTTGTACGCTCTCTAGTTGATTTTTGACTCACAGCAACTCCACACGACAGAGTAGAATTGCCCTATGGGGTTTTCTCGGTTGTAATCTTTAGGGAAGTAAATCACCAGGTCTTTTTCCCACAGAGCCACTGGGTGGGCTTGAACCAGCAACCTTCTGGTCATCAGCCAAGCACTTAACCATTGTACCTCCTCCTGAATGGAAATGGGAATACTCAAATGTGTGCTTTTCCTAATCCAGCTAAGATCCAGTCATTCAAATGAGACTGTGCTAGGCTGTGTTTTCATTATTTTTTCTAAGTAACTAAATGTGAAGAATATTGGAGCCTGCTGACTTATATGATTTAAAATCTAAAAATGTGTTAGCATCCAACTCTGGCAAACTGACATCCCATAGCCTCACTGCGGGTTTCCCAGCCTGTTGTACATTTTAGATAAATACTTAGCATTGAAGTTTTGTGTACAGCCCTTCAGTGGTTACTGAGCAAGGAATGGTCTCCTGCTGTACACAAATGCATTATTCACCCTGGGAAACTGACATTTTCTAAAAGCCAGTAAGATTTTTTCACTGAGTAGATGCCCTGCTGAATGTCCACCTAGTGTCCCAATATGCCTTGTGCACGGTGTGCCTTTTGGACTTGCACAGTTTGCCATTAGCCTAGGAAAGTCCACGGTTGCAAAAGGAGACGCACGCTTAATTGCTGTCTGGAATATCTTCACTACTAGGTAATCTATTCATTACTCAGCACAAGCTATGTCACTACAATCCAATATCTTTGTCTTAATTTAAGCAAGGAAATGGAATCCCAAATTACTCTACCCTTTTAAGTAAGTGAGTTCTACGTGGCTCCTAAAATGGTAAAGCTTAGAGCAATTAACTAAATTACGCCTTATTTTTGAAGTTATTTCAAATTGTCTCTTAAAATGACTCTCCCTATCTTCTTAATATGTCACCATGTGGAGACTGCTCTCACGCCTCTACAGTTTCTACCCAAATATGATTAATTAAGTCTATAGAAAATTTGGGAGAAATACTGTTTCCTATCAATCTATAGAACCAGCAACAGTCCTATATTTAAAAAAAAAAAAAAATGTGTCTTGACTAAAAAAGAATATGTTGGTGGGTGGTGGTGGTGTGTTTTTTTGTTTGTTTGTTTGTTTGTTTTAAGTTATGCATCTGAATGTACCCAGAGATTAATACTTAAAGATAAACTAAAATGGATTAGATGAGTATATGAATGATCTGCTGCAAATTCAGAATTAGATGGTCAGGAAAGTCTTGGTATAAAGGCTTTTTTTTTTTTTAGTAAGCTCAGCTATTGGATATGTTATTGACCTTGACTGCATTTTTGTATACCTGGTTGACCAATAAAGTTGTTGACATTGAGTTGACCCAACAGACTTTTAAGAGCCATCCCTGAGAGGTGATATAGCTGGGTTATTAACCCCTGAAAGAGAGAAGGGAGGGAGGAAGGTGACATTTCTCAGGAACAAATTCTGTAGAACCAAAAACAATCAGACATGTTTAATCTGCAGCATATAAAACAGCTATGGGAAGGTCCATTCCCACTGGAAATCCAGTTTATGACTACTTTATTTAAAAATGAGAATTCATTCTTAGAACCCCAAATCCTAAAGTATATAGATGTAGATAACATTCATTGGATCTATTTTTTATACTAATAGCTTCTCATTTACATTATGCCCCACCTATCACTTCTATATATAGAGAATATGAAGAGTATTCTTGTTTCTGTCCCAACATAGGTAATTGAAGCCAAAGAAAATGAAACCAAAATCAACGAGGCCCGAGAATGTTACAGACCAGTGGCAGCCAGGGCATCTCTTCTTTACTTCGTTATTAATGACCTCAAGAAAATCAACCCAATCTATCAATTCTCATTAAAGGTAACTCTGAACAGGCTAAGAATATTTAAAAGTTCAGGAGTTCAATTTGTTTCTAGAAGAAGCATAAAATGTATTTTTAAGTTGTCCATGCACTTCGTAACAAAGCAGGAGAATCTAGTTCTCAAAAACAAAACTCATTCTTTCAGAACTTTTCATAGATAATTGTCTGTAAGGCTTGAGATATAATTAAACTATCCATGTGACATCTTAGTATGTTTATATATTGTCTTAATAGAAATTCTGAGAAATGTGATTCAATTTGGGGAGAACAACAGCATATGAGGAGAGTTGTAAAACTAAATTGGTAGTCTGAAGTCAAGTATTATCCAAGAACCAAAAACAGACGGAGGCATTACAAGAAAACCACAGAGCATACCCTTTATAAACATAGATGTAAAACTCCTCAAGAAAAGATTGACAACTTGAATCTGGTCATATATAAAAAGCACATTACATTCTGACCAAGTATTTATTTCAGAAATGCAAGGTGATTTGACAGTAAAAAAATCATACAGTGTTATTCACCATATTAACAAGTTAGAAGGGAAAAACCACATGGTCATTTCAGTTGATGCAGGCAAAGAACTTACTGATAAATGTCGGCACATGATTGAAAACAGAAACTAACCCTCAGCAAGTGAGGAATACAAGGATGAGTCAAAAAAAGTATTGCTATTAGGGTTCTATTTCAAACATGTGTGGATTGATTCCAAACAAAATGTGTTTAACCATGTCTCTGCAATCAGTTCATGGCTGCAGACAAGTTCTCTGAGCAATACACTTGTCTTATTCTCATTTGTTGTTGTTAAGAGTTGTCCATTCCATTCTGACTCATAGTGACTCTGTATCGGTTTTCTGAGGAGTGGTTGGTGAGTTTGAACTCCCAACCTTTCCATACAAACTAACCTTTTGGCCCAGTGCTTATCCTACAGTGGCACACCACGTCTCATTTGGTGGACTTCAAAAAAGAAGGTTCATTCAAAACAGTGACTTCTGAGGCGATCTGCTAGGCCAGTTAAGTTAAAAGCAGGAAGTTCAACCCAGAATTTTATGGTACTGCTTTTTGGGATTCCAGAGGAGCAATCTGGAGTTCTGGAGGGCACTGTAGGATAAGCCTTGGTTTGCTAACCACAAAGTCAGCAGTTCAAACCCACCAGTCATTTCCAGAGAATCCAAGACACTTTTGATTTAAGTTGTAACTGACACAACGGAACTTAGCAACAACACCAAGAAATCATCTTGATATTTTTTCAAAGAACACAAGACACTCACAGGGTTTTATTATGTAGAAGTTTTAAGAACATTGAAAACTACACTGGTGAGAAAAAGACTAGGAAAGTTTACTGTGATTTTTGCCCCTTGTCACCACTCGTCTGTCAGTTTGTCGTACCATGGTGGCTTGTGAGTTGCTGTGATTCTGGAAGCTATGCCACCTGTATTTTAAATACCAGCAGGGTCACCCATGGTGGACAGGTTTTAGATGAGCTTCCAGAGTAAGACAGACTAGGAAGAAGGAGTAGTGAACTAATTCCAAATATTTAGTTACTGAAAACCTTATGAATAGCAGAGAAACACTGTCAGATATAGTGCCAGAAAATGAGCCCCACAGGTTAGAAGGCACTCAAAATGTGATTGGGGAAGAGCTGCCTCCTCAAAGTAGAGTTGACCGTGATGATGCAAATGGAGTAAAGCCTGTGGGAGAAAAGCCCGCAGGACCTTCATTTGCTGATGGGGCACAACTCAAAATGAAGAGAAACAGCTGTAAACATCGGAACATGGAATGTACAAAGTATGAATCTGGGAAATATGGAAGTGTTCAAAAATGAAATGGAACCCATAAACATCGATATCTTAGGCATTAGCTGAAATGGACTGGTATTGCCCATTTTGAATCTGACAACCACATGGTTTACTATGCCGGAAATGACAAATCGAAAAGGAATGGTGTTGTATTCATTGTCAAAAGGATTATATCCAGATCAGTCATGAGGTACAATGCTGTCTGTGATAGGATAATATCCTTATGCCTACAGGGAAGCCCAGATAATACCACTGTTACTCAAATTTCTGCACCAACCACTAAAGCCAGTGAGGAAGAAAGAAGAATTCTACCAACTTTTTCAATCTGAAATTGATCAAACATGCAATGAAAATGTATTGATCATTACTGGTGATTGGAATGCAAAGGTTGGAAGCAAAGAAAAAGGATCAGTAGTTGGAAAATATGGCCTTGGTGATAGAAAAGATACTGGAGAATGCATGCTAGAATTCTACAAAATTAATGATTTGTTCATTTCAAATACCTTCTTTAGACAGCATAAAAGATGACTACATATAGACCTCACCAGACAGAAACATAGAAATCAAATTGACTACATCTGCAGAACAAGACGATGGAAAAGCTCCATATCATCCGTGATAACAAGGTCAGGGGCAGACTGTGGAACAGACCATCAATTGCTCATATGCAAATTCAAACTGAAGTTGAAGAAAATGAAAACAAGTCCACTAGAGTCAAAATATGACCTGAAATATATCCCTCCTGAATTTAGAGATCATCTGAAGAACAGATTTGACACATTAAACACTAAAGACCGAAGACCAGAAGAGTTGTGGGATGACATTAAGAACATCAAACATAAAGAAAGCAAAAAGTCATTGAGAAGACAAGAAAGAAGGAGAAGGTCAAGATGGATGTCAGAAGAGACACTGAAACTTGCTCTCCAGCATAGAGATGCTAAAGCAAATCGAAAATATGAGGAGTTCCAAGAGCTGGCCAGAAATTTTCAAATATAAGCTCGTGAAGATAAGGGCAAACAATACAACAAACTGTGCAAAGATCTGGAATCAGAAAACCAAAAAGGTGAAGATCAAATAGCACAGCCTTCAATATGGATTACATCTCAATGTAAAGAAAACAAAAATCCTCACCACTCGACCAATAAACAGCATTCTTAATCAATGGAGAAAAGATTGAAGTTTGTCAAGGACTCATTCTTCTTGGATCAACTATCAACACTCATGAAAGCAGCAGTCAAGAAATCAAACGATGTATTGCATTATGCAAATCTGCTGCACAAGACCTTTTTAAAGTGTTGAAGAGCAAAGATGTCAGCTTGAGGACTAAGGTGCACCTGACCCAAGCCATGCTATTTTCTATAACCTCATATGCATGTGAAAGCTGGACAGTGAATAAGGAAGACCGTAGAAGAATTGATGCCTTTGAATTATGGTGTTGGAGGAGAATACTGAAAGTGCCATGGACTGCCAAAAAAATCAATAGATCCATTTTGGAAGAAGTGCAGCCAGAGTGCTCCTTAGAGGCCAGGATGGCCAAACTTTGTCTCTCATACTTCAAACATATTGTCAGGAGGGACCAGTCACTGGAGAAGGATATCATGTTTGGTAAGGTGGAGGGTCAGAGAAAAAGAGGAAGACCTCCTACGAGATGGATTGGCCAGGTGGCAGCATCGTTTGACTCAAGCTTGGCAACAGTAGTGAGGTTGGCCCAGGATCAGGGAGTGTTTCATTCTGCTGTGCCTAGGGTCACTATGAGTCAGTACTGACTCGATGGCACCTAATAACAACAATATATAAACAGAGAAAAGATTGACGTTGTCAAAGACTCCATATTTCTTGGATCAACCATCAGCATTCATGGAAGCAGCACTCAAGAAATCAAACAATGTATTTATTGCATTAGGCAAATCTGCTGCCCAAGACCTCTTTAAATTGTTCAAGAACAAAGATGTCAGTTTGAGGACTAAGATGTGCCTGACCCAAGCCATGGTGTTGTCAGTAATCTGCTATGCATGTGATCTTGGACAGCAAATAAGAAAGGCCGTAGAAGAATTGATGCATTTGATTTATGACATTAGAAGAGAATACTGTGGACTGCCAAAAGAACAAACAAATTTGTGTTGGAAGAACTACAGCCAGATGCTCCTTGGAAGCCAGGATGGCCAGACTTTATCTCTCATATTTCAACATATTATCAGTAAAGATGAGTTCCTAGAGAAGTACATCATGCCTGGTAAAGTGGAGAGTCAGGGGAAAAGAGGAAGACCCTCAATGAGATGGACTGGCACAGTGGCAACAGCAGTGGACAGCAATGGACTCAAGCACAGCAATTGCATAGTACTGGGCAGTGTTTCATTCTGCTGTGCATAAAGTTGTTATAAGTCAGTACCAGCCCCATGGCACTTAACAACAACAAAAATCTTTATACTAAAAACTACAAAGCACTGTTGAAAATATTACAGACCTAAATTAATAGAGAGATCTAACATAATTGATTGAAACAATCAATATTGACATCAGTTTTCTCCAAATTGATCTGTAGATTCAATTCATTCTCACCCACAATTTCAGAGTACTTGCCAGTTCAAATTGGCAAGTTGATTCTAAAATTCATGTGGACATACAAAGGGCTTAAAATGGACAAACAACTTTAAAAAAGAAAAAAAAAAAAAAAAGCCAAAGAACTTCTAGTATCAGATTTCAACACTTATAACCCTATATTGAACAAGACAATGTGGTCATAATTAAAGATAAATACAAGATACCATTGAAACAGAATCAATAGTCCAGAAAGAGACTGTATGGTCAGTTGACTTTAGGTAACAGTGCCAACACAATTCAATGGGAAAAGTATAGTCTTTACAGCCATTGTTGCTAGGACAACAGGATATCTACATGGAAAAAGATGAACCTCAACCGTTATATCACCTGTGCACAAAATGGACACAAAAGAAATCAGGTAAACTAGAAAATTCCTTGGGGAGGAACGATTTAAGCTTTGGACTAGGTAAAGATTTCATAGGCTACAATAGAAAAATAAATTGGATCTTAACACATTGATGAACATAAGATCTTCAAAAGATACTCAAGAAAATTAAAATATAAGTACAGACTCAGGAGGAAGGGGGATCCACAATATATATCTTTGGTAAAAATGCAACTCTTACAACTCTTCTGACTCATAGTGACCCTCTATAGAGTACCCTAGGAGCAACTGGTAGGTTTGAACTGCTGACCTTGTGGTTAGCAGTCCAGTGCTTATCCTACTTTAAAATGCCTTCTTGCCAGTATTTACACTATGTATCTGATGTTGTAGGATTTTACTTTCCTTCAAATATATAGACTTTAAGGTAAAATAGTCTATATTCTCTGATCCTATACCCTAGTCACAAATGTTTGTGTGTTTGTGTGTGTATCATATAAATGTATATATGAGGGGGTTTCACAAAGTTCACTGAGAAAATTTCATTACCTCTTAATTCTATTTTTCCATGAACTTTTTGAATTCTGCCCTTGGAAACCCTTTACAGGGTTGCTATGAGTCAGAACCAACTCCATGACATATAACAACAGTATGTTCATGTGGGAGAAAGAGGCCTTCTGCTCCTGTAAAGATATACATCCTGAAAACCCTAAACCGGTGACTCTGAGTCAAAAGGGACTCGACAGCACACAACAACAACATTGTATGTATTCGTGTATATATAGGGAGCACAGTCTATATATATGTAGAAGAGGCATTGGACTGTGAACCACAATGTCAGCTGTTCAATCCCACCAGTCCCTCCATGGGAGAAAATTGAGGGTTTCTACTCCCACAAAGATATACAGCCTTGGATACTCTATGAGTTGTATCCATTTTGATGTCACTTAACAATGACAATAATACGTATATATGTGCACATTTGTATGTATGACAGTAGAAATGGTTAACACACGCAGTTGTTAAACAAAAGGTTGATGGTTCGAGTCTATCCAGAGGCACCTAAGAATAAAGTCCTGGTGATCTAATTCCAGAAAATCAGCTGTCAAAAACCCTGTAGAACACAATTTTAATCTGATGTACATGAGGTCGACATGAGTTGGAATCTACTTGACAGGAAGTGGTTATATACATATGTTACATATGTACAGTGCTGTCGGAAAGCACTCAACTGCTCAAGGTTGGCGGTTCAACCCATCCCTCACTCCTTGGAAACCTTATGCAAGGGTGCTATGACTGGAACCAACTGGGTGGCACTAAACAGGAACAACAACATGCATACCTTGGAGATATTTGGGTTTGGTTCCAGACCACCACAATAAAATAAATGTTCAAATAACACAAGTTATTGGTTTTTGGCTTCCCAATACATATGGAAGTTACACTTACAGTTTACTGTATTCTATTAAGTGTGCAATGTTGTTGTTGTTAAGTGTCGTCGAGTTGGTTCTGACCCATTGTGACTCTGTATAGGATTCCCAAGGCTGTAAATCTTTACGGGAGCAGAAATTCTCATCTTTTTCCTGAGGAATGGCTGGTGTGTTCAAAGGCTGAGCTTTGGTTTGCAGGTATTCTACTGAGCCTCTGCTCTCCCTGAGTATGCAGTAACATTATGAAAAAGTGTGAATTATTGTGAAAATTATCAAAGTGTGACACAGAGACAGGAAGTGAACACATGCTTTTGGAAAAATGACAGTAGACTTGCCTGACACAGGCTTGCCACAGACCTTCAATTTATAAAAAATCACAACTCCGTGAAGCTCAGTAGAGCGAAGTGCAGTAAAACAAGGTATGCCTGTGTATGTGAAAACAGAGCCACACAGCCCTACTATTATCAAATCAAGGTATGAAGTAATGAGCAAATCCCAAGAATTATTTTATAAGGGAGATCACCAAAAGAGCAACCCACAAGTACTTGGGCTGATGAACAGAGGATGATGACATGGTTCAGTTGACAAGAAGTGGGTAGATTATGTGAAACAGTATTCATGTTGTTGTTGTTAAGTGCCGTTGAGTCAATTCTGACCCATAGCAACCCTGTATAGGGTTTTCAAAGAGTGGCTGGTGAGCTTCAACTACTGATCCTGTAGTTCAAACTGACTTTGCAGTCCAGCACATTAACTCACAGTGCCATACCATTAATAATAATGCCAGTGATAGTAGTAATGGCAGCTAACATTAATGAGCACTTAGCATTTGCCAACAGCTGTTCTAAGGATGCACAAGAAGTCTTGTCATGTTCTTTCTCCCCATAGAGGTCCCTTAAACTACAACCCTATGTATCTGGAGCAAACCAGAATCCAAGCACCAGTGTTCACCTCTAACAGTTACCTTAAATTCCCTAGGCTTTCAACACACTGTTCCTCAGAGCGATCGAGCAGGCCGACAAGGGGGAGGACCCACAAGAGCACATCTCCAACCTGCTGGAGAACATAACCCATGCTGTCTTCCTCTACACCAGCCAGGCGCTCTTTGAGAAGGACAAGCTCACCTTCCTTTCCCAGATGGCTTTCCAGGTGAGGAAATCGGTCCCTCAAAAGCAAACCCAGATTTGAGGTCTGCTGACAGAAAGCATTTTTATCTTTACTTCAGATGTTTTGATGGTGCAAGGAGAGTTAAGTTTCCACAGGGAACTTGAGCATCACAGCACATTGGTTTAGGGTGGGTAGCCACTTTGAGCTGTCACCACAGTTATCACCTTGTAAAACAGATAGATGAGTCATTCTCCTCCACTTTCAAGTCCTGGAAAGAATCTCCTAGGTACTACATGGGCGTGCTTCAAGATCAGGGTCATTAACCCAAGTCTGAATGGTCCTAGGAGCTTCTTAGAGTCCCTTTAGGGAATAGTGAATGAGTCAAGAGAGTTTCAGGTTTCATGCCTCCACCTTTAGTCAGATCTGCTTCCTTTTTCTGTCTTTTATATGGACTTCTATAATTTTATTTAAGGAAAGGGATTCAGAGGAAGACGTGGGCATGCATGTGATGCTCTCCCCAGCAGGTTGGAGATGTTTGCCTGTGGGTGCCCCCCCTCCCCCACTTGTCAACCTGCTTGATAGCTCTGAGGAATTGTGTGGAAAAAAAACAACTGAGGGCCCCTTTCTCAATGGCATAAAATGTGTCCTTAAATGAATGAGTTTGCTTCAGAGCCCTTCATATCAATCCAAACTTTGAGAGAAAGTCTCTGTATTACCTATTTTGGGTCCTCCAGAGTGACTTGTGCATAGAGGTGCTTTATCAATATCTACTGACATTAATCAGAAACTACTGTCTTTTCCTTTTTTTTTTTGGCATTCATAGATTCCTTTGGTTTGTATAAGATTATGTGGGTGTGTTGTTGTTGTTGTTAAGTGCCTTCGAGTCAGTTCCAACCCATGGCAACCCTGTATACGGTTTCCAAGGAGCAACTGGTGAGCTTGAACCACTGACCTTGTGATTCAAACCTACTTTGCAGTCCAGCTCATTAACCCACAGTGTCACACCAGCAGGTGTTTTATAATGTATGTGATAAAGAGGAGCAAAACATTACAAATTGAAATAGTTATTTTATGCATATTGCTCACTAACAGTAAACAGTTAATTTATACTTATTTCCAGGAGTTATAAGGTGTAATGTATACACACATACATGTACACATATTTAAAACTTTTCCTTGCAAGTCAAAGGTAAATCATAACTGGTCTCAAATCTTGGCAATCTTCATAAACTTAAACGTGTTATCTGTATGGGCAAATATTTGTGAAAAGAAATTCAATCAAATTAAAAAAAATATCCAGTAAAAGAAAATATTAATGCATACTAAATAATAACAATAGCACAAGATCCATAATTCATTTTGACAATATCTCAAATGTTTAGAAAACTCAAAAGTTTAATTTAACATTGTAATGTGTTATGATTTTCATGTGGAAACTGTTAATACTTTTTTTGTCCCTCCTCAGGATGAAATACTGACCATCGTCACAATTGTTAGCCCTGCTGCTGTCACTGTGCCAATCCATCTCGTTGCAGGGGTAGTGGGGGAGGGTCTTCCTCTTTTTCACTGGCCTTCTACTTTACCAAGCATAATGTACTTCGTACTGGTCCCTCCTGATAATAATGTCCTTTGTATGAGAGATGAAGTCTCACTATCCTGAGCTTTAAGGGGCATTCTGACTATACGTCTTCCAACAGAGATATATTTTTTCTTTTGGCAGCCCAGGGTACTTTTAATATTCTCCAGTGCCACAATTCAAATGCATATTTTTTTTATGGTCTCTCTCCAACTTTCACGTGACTGATTATGAAGTAATTGAAAATACCATGGCTTTGGTCAGGCTCACCTTAGTCCTCAAACTGATAGCTTTGTTCCTGAACACTTTAAAGAGTCTTATGCCGTAGATTTGCCTAATGCAATACGTTGTTTGATTTCTTGACTGTTGCTTCCATGAGTGTTGCTGGTGGATCCAAAAATGAAGTCTTTGATAACTTTAATCTTTTCTCCATTTATTATGATGTTATTTATTGGTCCCATGGTGAGGGTTTTTGCTTCCCTTGCATTGAGGTGCAACCCACAGTGAGGACTGTAGCCTTTGATCTTCATCAGTAAATACTTGAAGTCCTCTTCACTTTTAGCAAGCAAGGTTATATCGTCTGCATACAGCAAGCAGCTAGTGCGTCTTCCTCCAATCCTGATGCTGTGTTCTTTTCATATTATTTGAAGCTTCTCAGATTATTTGCTCAGCATACAGATTGAATAAGTATGGTGAAGTAATACAGCCCTGAATCATGCCTTTCCTGGTTTTAAACTATTCAGTATCCCCTTGTTCTGTTTAAACAACTGCCTCTTGGTCTATGTACAAGTTCCTCATAAGCATATTAAGTGTCCTGGAATGCTCATTCTTTGCAATGTTGCCCATAATGTGTTATGATCCACACAGTCAAAAGCCTTTGCATAGTCAATAAAGCACCAGGAAACATCTTTCTAGTATTCTCTGCTTTCAGCCAAGATCCATCTGACATCAGCAATGGTATCATTCCTAGTTCCAAGTCCTCTTGGGAATTTCTGACACTTCCTTGTCTATTTACTGTTGCAGCTGTTTTCAGGTATCTGCAGTACAATTTTACCTGCCTGTGATACCAATGATACTGCATTCTGTTGGGTCACTTCTCTTCAAAATGGGCACAAATAAGGATTTCTCCCAGTGTTTGGCCAGGTAACTTTCTTCCAAATTTCTTGCCATAGATGTGAAAGCGCCTTCAGCCCTGCATCAGTTGTTGAAATATTTCAATTTGTATTCCATCAACTCGTGGAGCCTCGTTTTTCGGCAGTGCCTTCAGTGCCGCTTGGACTGCTTCCTTCAGTACTGTAGGTTCTTGATCTTATGCTACCTTCTGAAATGGTTGAACATCATTTCCTTTTTGGTGCATGACTCTGTGTATACCTTCCATCTTCTTTTGATGCTTTCTGTATCATTCATTGTTTTGCCCATGAGGCAGTCGGGTGCCGTCAAGTCAGTTCTGAGTCACAGTGACCCATATAGGGTTTTCAAGGATTGATCGGTGGTTTTGAACTGTCAACCTTGCAGTTAACAGTCCAGTGCTGTAATGCAACACTGTTGTTGTTGTTATGTGTCGTGGAGTCAGTTCTGACTCATAGCGACCCTGTACAGGGTTTCCGAGGCTGTAAATCTTTATGGGAGCAGAAAGCCTCATCTTTCTCTCACAGGGCAGCTGGTAGTTTTGAACTGCTGACCTCAAGGTTCACAGCCCGATTCGTAACCACTACACTACCAGAGCTCCTAGTGCAACACTAGGACTCCCATTTTCCCCACAGTATTCTTGAATATTTCAATTTAAGGCTTGAAGTTTTTCTTCATTCTTTCAGCTTGAAAAATGCTGAGCATGTTCTTCCCTTTTGGTTTTGTCATCACAGATTTTTGCATATTTCATTATAATATTTGACTTTGTCTTCTCAAACTGCCCTTTGAAATTTCCTGTTCTGCTTTTGATGTCCTGTTTTCTTCCATTCACTTTAGCATCTCTACACTGGTAAGCAAGTATCAGAGTCTCTTCTAACATCCATTCTTTTCTTTTCTTTCTTACTTTCTTGACTTTTTAATGACCTTTTGCTTTCTTTCTATATGTTCTTGATGTCATCCCACAGCTCTTCTGCTCTTCTGGTCTTCGGTCATGAGTATGATATACCTAATACATCAAATCTGTTTTTGAGAAGGTCTCTAAATTCATGTAGGATATGTTCAAGGTCATAGTTTGGCTTATAGACCTATTATCAGTTATATAATCATAAAGTCTAAAGTTTGTTCCAATTCATGATGTGTTTGTTTAGTTTTATCTCTAAATTAGTAATTTCTTATTTTCCTCATATATAAGAAAAATCTTTCATCCATCCAGTTATTGGACATAGTTTCTATCTCAGGAATAACATACAGTGCTAGTTGTACCTTATGCTTAATAATTCAGTCTGTTGCTACCTAAGAATTTTTCATTTTATAACAAAATTTAGAACAAGTTTGATCTAATAGTGGACTAAATATGAAAGTATATTAAGTATGTTGTTAATATTAGAATTGGAGTAAATCCACCTTAGTAATTATTTTCTATTTGAATTCTGCAAATGCTTATGAGATGACTGGCAAATTTTCAAATTCTTGATTTCAACTAGTGGAGGACAACAGGTGGTTACAGTACTTCTCAGCCAATTGGCTTGAACATATTCAGTTGTATGTATTAAATGGTGACCACGTCCTAGATTATGATTATGTTGCAAACCAAATGACTCTTTTGAATTTTGTGTACTCTCAAGATTTTGTTGCGGAAGAATGAGATAGACCCCGTTGAACTGGATTTCCTGCTTCGATTCACAGTTGAACACACCTACCTGAGTCCTGTTGACTTTCTGACTGCTCAGTCTTGGAGTGCTATTAAGGTACGGTTGTTGTTGTTAAGGGCCGTCAAGTTGTTTCCAACCCATAATGACCCTGTATTGGGGTTTCTGAGGAGCATCTGGTGAGTTTGAACTGCTGACCATACAGCAACCTAAAGTTCAAACAGACTTTGCAGTCCAGAGCATTAACCCACAGAGCCGCCATGGTAGAGAATGATTTTCCAATTCCTGAATCATGTTTAAAATCTCAAATCTCTTAGCTTTGGAAATGTAGTTTGTAAAATACAAGTGATATATAAGTCACCATTTTATTTATAGAACTATGCTGTGTAACATGTTATTCTTTATAATTAATCTTTTGATTACTTCTTTATTTAGAAGTAAAAGAGTTTTTAGCCTATTTTGGGGTAGCAAAGTTATTATGAATATGTCAGAGCCTTCAGTAAAAATCTAGGAATATAAATGAAATTATTTTCAATTTATGTGAATCTGATTTTTTTAATCTTCTTTACTTTTTTTTAGTTGGTGCTGTTCTACTTTTATAAATAGATTTTTCTTTTTGAAACTCCACAACAATCTGGTGACTAATGTCATTGTAAAACATTTAAGCAAAAGAGAATGTTGTGAGAGAAAATGAAATTCATTCATCTTTTTTGACGAATTATCAAAATTATCAATTATCAATACTGATTCCATTTTTTTGGTCAGATTTTACTATTAACAATCCGGAGCTCCTTTAAAGTGCTGACTATACTTTAGTCTTTTTACTATGAGGAAAACATTCCTATGCACTGAAAATAATCATGTTATCCCTTAATTTTTAAAAATATGTTGTTTTATTTTTAAATAGAATTTTTCATTAAAATACCACTTTAAAATGATGAACTGAAGTTGTATTATCAGTTAGGGTCTCAGTAGAAAACAGATGACAAATTCAAAGGGATGATGAAGAGAATTGAATGAATATATTTTTACAGTGGGCATAAGAAGAAAAAGGGAATCAACCAGAAATGATGACAAAAGGGGAGAAAGCAGTTTCCAGAACCACTGAGAAATGAAGTTAAGAGAGTGATTCAACCCATTGGTGATATTATCTTTTGTAGAGGAACATCCACTGCCAAACTGTCCCAGCAGAGAAAGAGTTGGAGGAATAAATACCTCCACTTCTGTCTCTCCTCCAGCCTTCTAGTCTGTCTCTCCTCCAGCCTTCTAGTCTCCTGCCAATGCTTCCTGTCAGTCAAATCCAACCAGGCCAGAGAACCAGGAAACTTCGTCCAGGTAGTTCGTAATGATCACCCTTTAAACAGGGTCGGAAAGGCAGCAGTGTGAATCTGCAGAGGACAATAAAGAAAATCCAGCATGATTTGAGTACATAGGATTAGATACATTCACAAGTCTTTAGCTCAGACTGTAAGGTATTATACAAACCATTCCCATCTTCTCCTCTGGTACATTTTAGACAGTAGCTCTGATGGAAGAATTTCGAGGCATCGATCGAGATGTGGAAGGATCCGCCAAGCAGTGGAAGAAGTGGGTGGAATCCGAGTGTCCAGAAAAAGAAAAGTTGCCACAAGAATGGAAGAAGAAAAGTTTAATACAGAAGCTAATTATTTTACGAGCAATGCGCCCGGACAGAATGACATATGCGCTCAGGTGGGTCAGCCATCAGTTTGGGAAATGCAAGTTAACTCAGAGGCAAGTCAGTTTTAGGGCATAGGGGTATGTGAAGGTGTAAGTGAAATTAGTCAAGGTGGCACCAATGGTTAACACATTCAACTGCTAACCAAAAGGTGGGTGGCTTGTGTCTACCCAGAAATGTCTAGGGAGAGAGGACTGGTGACCTACTTCTGGAAAGCCAGCGTGGAGTACCCTACAGAACACAGTTTCTCTCTGACACACCTGGTCACCATGGTGAGGGCAAGCGGTTTACTGGGTTACAAAGTCCTATTGATAAGCAGTGAGTCTGCTGAGATTTTTTTATCTTCTAGTCTCGACTAGTGTTAAATGTTTCTAAACACTAAATTGTATGCTAGTTTATAGGCAGACTCAGCACATCTTTGGTTAGAAACCTTAATTTTGAAATCAGTCGAGGACAAGAAACTGATGGAAATATCCAAAGAAGAGGGATGCGTGTCAGCAGAGTTCAGAGGACAGGAACATGCATTACCCAAGTGTAATTTCCATCGTCTTTATTTACTAGTGACACTTTGGCTCCCAAGATTTTGCATGTCAAACAGAAAAATGAATTCCCTTCATGGACACACTCAGAGTCCTATAACTTTACAACCAATGCAATTTCAAGGCAGAAACTACAGCCTGCATCTTAGTTCAATTGTCCTTTTTCCTCTGCCCTCTTGGCTTCTGAATGGTAATACGCTGTTTAATGCACACAAGTCTTATTCTAATTTGAATTCACCAACCAAAGCGTTCTCAACTGCCTTCCCTATCAAACTCCTCTTTCTTCAAGAACATTCACAAGCCTCTGAATTTTTACTTTGCCCTTAGTTTTCCAGTTTTCCCCTCGGCAGCAACCTCCACTAAGCCCCACTTTAGAAGTTCATTCTTAGTGGTACTTACTTACTTTCTGTTAAATCTGATGCTGCTGGAGAATAATCCTTGCTTAATTGAGCTTCCCTGTGTTAGAAACACCCCAAAAAGCATTTGTATATTCATGAGAAGCCCAGCAGGCTGGAAAATTGCACTGTGGCAAATCTAATGAACTGTTAATAAGTAATGGTGGAATCTGGCAGGGGCTTTGAGGATACAAAGCCATATGCAGGCAGCTGATGGCACTCAGAGGGGAGTCTCAGTAGCCCCCCAAAATGGAAGATAGGTTATTGATGTTCAGAACTGCCGAAGAAGAGCAGCATCTCCTTAATAAAACTACTGCCTAAATCTAGTTGGGTTCATATTGTCATCCTAACAAGACATGCAAAGTACTACACACATGAGTTTTTTCTTTCTTGTGCCTGAGGGTTTAAAATTTTACCAAGATGTGTCACCTTTCAAGGTCAAAACCACTCATCATGGGTCTTTTTTTGTTTGTTTGTTTTGCATATTTTTTAAACAGGAATTTTGTGGAGGAAAAACTGGGTGCAAAGTATGTAGAAAGAACCAGATTGGATTTAGTGAAAGCATTTGAGGAAAGCAGTCCAGCGACCCCAGTGTTCTTCATCCTGTCTCCAGGAGTAGATGCTCTTAAAGACCTAGAGATCTTGGGTGAGTGGCCAGGAGGTTGCTGGTCAGCCCTCCAGCCCTCCCACCCTCCGCCCACCAGCCCTGCCTTTCAGTTCACAGTTATCTTAGTGGATTTTTTTTTTTCCCCTTCTTTCTCTCATCTGTCGGAGATTGGATGTATTGAAAATGTAAAGATAATAACACTGTAGTCTGGAGAAATGTTCAAGCGGAACATTCCTCTGGTTGGTATAATGCAAGTTTCTTTTGTACTGTTTCCTACCTTTTGAGTAGATGAGGGCCAGAGGGCAATTTTCTCCATGCTCATGTAATCATATACCCCCTGTGACTAAATAATGGTCATTAGAGCAACTGTATTCAATTGTGGAAGGCCCAGTCGCTTTGTGCTCTGGATTACTATTACCCATGGCCTGTACTGAGACGACCGGGTTAATATAGCTGTGGTCTGACTGCGCTCAATTTAAACGCGGCCTCACAAGGTGAGAGGCTGGTGCATTTACCCAGTGAACCAGTCCGTTAAAAAATGATGTGGTATCTACCACATGTTGCTCTTCTTTATGTGGGAAATGCTTTGCTATTCCTTCAAGAGTTTATAAAGCTCAATAACAATGCCTGCCATCTATCAAAATGTGAAACGCTTCATTATCATAAAACCAGAGGAATTGATTTCCATGGTCTTTTCGAATGCTTGCCATGAGGTAGTTACTGAGAGCACGCAAAATGCTGCTTGTTGGAATGACAGAGGTCAAGTTTGAATTCTTCAGGAAAGGGACCGGGAAGATGGCATCAGTGACCACAAATGAAAATTGTACCACAAAAGGCCATATTCTCAGTCCAGAAACAGAGGATCCTAGGACCATCAAAGGAGAAGAGCACAAGTGGAATGTGGGACCCTGTCCAGAGAAACAGCAACACCAGAGATGGAGGCAGAGATGGGAACATGGCAAGAGGGAGCAGTTGAGGCCTCTGGACTCATGAAAAGAGAGGGGCTGGGTGCTGGCGGCCAGGAGGCAGGCTTGTAGAGTGTGCCCTTTGGTTGTTGAAATTATTATATAAGCCTGAGTGTTTTTGTGTATATCCTCTCCCTCCCCTCCCACACACACAAAAAAGGAAATAGAAGCAAATACTGTTGAATGATGATGCACGGAGGAAATTATAATCATTGCAATGAAACAATGGTGGTAAAGCAAATGTTTTCCCATGTAAACTAGTACTCAGTTCACAGTAAAAACTTTTTTTAAAAAGCTATCTTTTTCCCCACCACTGCTCTGTGCACACTTCCTCTCACTATGTTGTCTCTTACCACAGGCAAAAAGCTTGGCTTTACAATTGACTCAGGAAAATTCCACAATGTGTCTTTGGGACAAGGTCAGGAGATGGTGGCAGAAATGGCACTGGAGAAGGCTTCTGAAGGAGGACACTGGGTCATCCTCCAAGTGAGTATTCTGCTTTCATGGAAGACATTGTGAGCGAACACAGGGAACACACAGTTTAGAACTGCCCTGCCCAATGAGAATGACCCTTTGTTGTAACACTTGGTGATTTGAGAAGTCCTGGTATGGTACCATAGGATAAGCACTCGACCTCAAGGTCTGTTTGAACCGCAGGATCAGCAGTTCAAACTCAACAGCCACTCCTCGGAAATCCAATACAGGGTCAATATGAGTTGGAACCGGCTCAATGGCACTTAACAACAAACAACAACAATCATTTCTCTCTGAGTCTGGTGTGGCACTGTAGGATAAACACTGGACCACAATGGTGGTTTGAACCACAAGATTGGAGGTTCAAACCCACCAGCCACTCCTCAGAAACCTTGTACTATAAGTTGCTATGAGTCAGAACCACCTCAGCTGCACTTAAAAAAACAACAACAAATCATTCCTCTCCAGGAGCTCTGGTAGCGTAGTAGGTTATGAGCTAGGCTGCTAACTGCAAGAGTCAAATCTACCAGTCGCTCTGCAGGAGAAAGATGAGACTTTCTGCTTCCTTAAAGATGTATAGCTTTGCACACCCTGTACAAGGTCATTGTGGGTCGGAACCGACTCAGTGGCACACAACCACCACCGCTACCACCACCTTTTTCTCTCAGAGTGCTGGTGTAAGATGAGGCTTTCTGCTCCTGTGAAGATTTACAGACTCAGACACCCTATACAGAATCACTATGAGTCAGAACTGGCTCGATGTTAGAGGCATTAATGGTACCTCCAGAGGTGCCACAGGCCTGACAGAATTAGAAACACGGGGAAGTGCCATTATTGTCCTAATTTACAGATATCTAGACACCCCTAGTTCTGCTGGATGACAAATAGGAATGTAGTGATTGCCAGCGTTTGTCATTGTTTCCCTCATCTGCATGTTGCTTTAAAGTTGAGAAAATACTTGCTTACATATGATTTCACAAAACCTTAACCACCCCTAATGAACTGCATTACCTTGGTAAGCTTTCATTTTCCTCACTTGTACATTAAGGGCCTTCACGTAATGACTCCTTTTTCTCTTCTAGCAGCTCAGTTGCCATCCAATGGATTCTGACTCAATGTGATGCCTTATGTTTCTAAATAGAACTAGGCTCCATAGCGTTTTAAACGGCTGATATTTCCAAAGTACATCATTAGACCTTTCTTCCAAGGTGGCTCTGGCTGGACTCAAAACTTCAACCTTTTAGATAGCAACCAAGTGTTTTAACCATTTACACACCCAGAGACTCCTTACCCCTCCTAAGGATAATGTTACATGGATCTACTGTCCTGCAACCCAGCTGGAGCATTCTAGCAAGTGTCCAGGAACCAATGGAATCAGGCTTCTTTAGGGTGCATTTCAGAGACTTGCCAACTCCTTGTAGCCAGCTCAGCTAACCGCCTGCATGTCTGAGACCGGCCATTTGATTGGCACCACTGTGGTATCCAGGCTTCTCATTTATGTGCCAGACAGTTTACTAGGCAATTCATAGCCCACATCATGTCTAATTCTTATAGCAAAGCGGCAAGTATAGGTATTCCTACAAAGATGAAAAAACATGATCTTTGCAGTGGTCTAAGTATTCTCAAGGCCACACAGCTGGTACCTGACAGTGAACGTGAACCTCCAGCTTGTTGGTCAGCAGCCAAGTGTGTTTGTTAATCATTTGCACCCCCCTGGGATTCCATCAAGTGCTTAGATGAGGCCTTAATAGAGACCTTAGTTGGTGGACCTGGGGCAGCGCATCCCTTCTGAAGCTCACAGAGGCAGACATTTCACAGGGAAGAGCTTGGTTTGTTTTTTAGAGAGCAGTTGTTGCTCAGTTTGGTAGAAGCTAGGATCTCCTTACAGAGGAAGATTTCTTCAAGAGCTTGCAGGAGCCCAACCAGACTAGCAAGAACAAAATCAGTCTCAACAGAATTTATTATTCAAAGTAAAATTCTATTCACCAAAATTGGGGGTGGGGGGGGGGGGGGGGTGCGGGAAATTGCACCTTTAAGCCTTAAAAAAAAAAAAAAATCTTAAAAAGACCTATTTGTTAAGAATTTGCTTTTGGTTATCTCTTCCAGGCCTTCGAATTTTCTTCATAGTGCCAAATTGGTAAACAAGACTTTAACTTTTTATCTATCCTTCTCCACTCCTCATCCCTATATTCACATACATGGTCATTGGAGGGAGAGATTATCCCAAACTTTCAACCCTCCCAGTTTCCTGCTATTCCTTCATTTCCTGCTATTCTTCTGTTATTCCTTTGACCTATAAGTAGGTTAACAACAATAACAACAACAAAAACCATAATGGAGTACAGTTTTTTCTGTTTGCTGAAATTTAATTTTGTTGTCGAGAATCTACACAACAAAACACAAACCAGTTCAGTCATTTCTACATGTACAGTTCAGTGATACTGATTACATTCATCCAGTTTTCTACCATTTTCAGCCTTCCTTTTTGAGGTGTTCCTCCTCCATTAACATAATCTCCCTGCTCCCTACATTCTTATATTTCTTTCAAATTGCTGGTGACACCTTAATCTCACATTGTTGTTGTTGTTAGGGTCCATCCAGTCGCTACCAAGCCATAGCGACCTTATGCACAACAGAACAAAACACTGCCCAATCCTGGGCCAACCTCACTATTATTGCCACACTTGAGCCCATTTATAGATAGCTCTTTAAATAATACAGTGCTCAAGTTAGAGAGTTTTTACTAGCTGTTGTTTGTTGTTAATGCCATCGAGTCAGTTCCGACTCATAGAGACCCTGTATAGCGTTTGCCAGGAGCGGCTGGTGAGCTTGAACTGCTGACCTTGCAGTCCAGCACATTAACCCGCAGTGCCACACCAGCTAAATTATTATCTGATTTTAAAAAAGATGTCAGGGAATATTTTTGGCTTACATTTTAAAGGTTATCTCAGGGCATTTGTTTCAGGGATTCATATAGCCTCCTTGGTCAGAATTGTATAGAATCTTTGCTCACAATGTTTAGTGATGGTAGCTTGGTCTCATGGAGGCAAATAGCCACACATTTCATGTCCTCCTCTTATAGTTTTAATAGTTTAACAGTTTGCTTAATAAGATATGATAACTGAAAGCCCAAAGTGATGAACTGTCCCTAATCACCCACTTCATTGTCTCTGAAGGCCTCCACTGCTCAGACTCCTACTCGTTGGTATAGGGACTCAAAAGGCGGTAAGGAAAGAAAGGCAAGCTGAAAAGGAAAGCAATCATTCTCTGTTAAGACGCTCCAGAGAAAACTATGGCAAAGGCGGCAGGGTGGCAGCTATCTTTATCCCAGATATGCACCAGATGGTCCGTGAATTAGCATAATGGATTTTAAAAATCATTTTTCATTGGTGAAATGCATGGTTTTCAAGATGTGGGGATTGGCTAAAAGTATCCAGACACTTCTGCCCTTGCCTGAATAAAACCCAGGATCTGGCCAGGCCCTAGGACCTGTTTACCCTCAAGGATGGTTCCCAGGGTGGATGCCAAAACGTGCTCATGCTCCATGGTGACTGATGTGGGGCTTTTCTGTCCCCTGACTCCAAGTCACTCCTTGGAATCGTTTACAATTGCTTCAAGTAAACTTTTCAAGTAGGATACTGTTGTCATCTGTTAGGATTACAAAGCAAATTTACAACAGTGTTTGTTCTCACCAGTTTTTGTCCACATGAGTGGCACAGTTTGGTGTGAGATGAGTTCTGATTCTAACCTAGAAGCTTGTAGAGGGAGGGACTTAGTAGCTCTCTCCTATCGGGGTGAAATATTCACCAAGGGGTGGGTTGGACTAATTCTTGTGAACAACTGAATCTTTACCACAGTATTGTTTCAAAGAAAATTACCTTCCGCGTTAATATTTTTGTAGCTGTTGTCATCTTAACTGAGCCCTAATGTGGCGCTATAAGATAAGCACTGGTCTGCTAACCACAAGGTTGGCAGTTCAAACCCACTAACCTCTCTGGGAGAACCTAGATAGGGTCACTATGAGTTGGAATTGACTTGCCAGCACTTAACAACAACCTCATCATCTTAAATGGTTTTCTTTGTTAAAAATAATTACATATTTCTGAGGATGATGTTCAGTCACTGTATCCAGGATTCCTCCAACATCAAACAGCATGCGAGGAATGTCCTTTCTATCTCTCTCTCCATACCAACTATTAAGCTGTTTATTACTGGAATTTATGAATCCTCGACTAGAAAACCAAAGAGTGATAGTGGCAGCAATTGTTGCTGACAACTCTTGGATTTAAGAAAACGAGCAGCAGCTCAACAAAGGGTGCTTACATTCTCTTTCAGCTCACCTTCCTTCCTTTAACTGCCTTTTAAGTCCTTATGCTGATATGTGTAAGGAGCTCTGGTAGCGTAGTGGTTACGAATCGGGCTGCGAACCGCAAGGTCAACAGTTTGAAACTACCAGCTGTTCCACAGGAGAAGGATGAGGCTTTCTGCTCCTATAAATATTTACAGCCTCGGAAACCCTGTACAGGGCTGCTGTGAGTCGGAACCTACTCCACAGCACACAGCCACAACCACCACTGATATGTATAGGGACTTAAAAGGCAGTTACAGGAAGAAAGGTTAGCTGAAAGAGAACGTATAAGCACTCTTTGTTAAGCTGCTGCTCGTTTTCTTAAATTCAAGAGTTGTCAGCAACAATTAGGGGGTCCTGGTGTGGCGCAGTGGGTTAATGAGCTGGACTGCAAAGTTGGTTTGAACCGCATAGTCGGCGGTTCAGGCTCACCAACTGCTCCTTGGAAACCTTATACAGGGTGGCAGTGGGTTGGAACTGACTCGACGGCACTTACCAACAACAACATACTAAATTATGGAGTCCTGGTGTGGCGCTGTGGGTTAATGTGCCAGACTGCAAAGCCATTTGAACTGCAAGGTCGGTGGTTCAAGCTCACCAGTTGCTCCTTGGAAACCCTTTACAGGGTTGCTATGAGTTGGAATTGACTCGACGGCACTTAACAACAACAACTGATATGTAGGAGTAAGAGTAGAGAAGGTTTCTGGTAGAGACAATGCAGTAGGTGATTAAATACAACTATCAGTTTCTGCCTTTTAGTTTTTATGTTTTATTAAGTTTATTTAGTTATTATGTTTTATTATTATCATTAATTGGGTTAGAATTATAACAACAACAACAAATTAGGCAACTCCATTTCAAAAGTAATGGTGGATGTTTGGAAGTAGGTAAAAATGTTGGGAGGAGATTTTTAATGACAAAGAAAAGCTATGGTGATTTGGAGCATTTAGTGTGTCAAAGTTCAATACTGTTTTAGCTTTTTTTTTTTTAAACCTTGATGTGAAAATTAAGGAAAAGTTAAGTCTTGGTTCTCAGCGTTTTTGTGAATAGAGAAATGTTGTAAACCTGTAATGTAAATAAAAGACTTGAGTTTTACAGGAATACTAAGTCCCGCTGTCTTTCAGAATGTCCATTTGGTAGCCAAGTGGCTAGGAACCTTGGAGAAGCTGCTTGACCGATTCAGCCAAGGAAGCCATGGTGACTACAGAGTTTTCATGAGTGCTGAGTCAGCACCTGTACCAAAGGAGCATATCCTTCCCCCAGGACTCCTGGAAAACTCCATCAAAATCACTAATGAGCCTCCCACAGGAATGCTGGCCAATTTGCATGCTGCCCTCTACAACTTTGATCAGGTGAGGAAGCAGAAAAGCTGGGTCTGATAGTAAAGTCCAGCCCTCTGGCAAGGCTTTAACGAACATCACTCATGGATGCATCTCATACAAAGGGATGAGGTGAAATCTTTGGAGGGGAGGGGTGTGTGCGTGCGTGCATGAGTGCGTGCGTGCATGTTAATCTCAATTTCTTGAAAAAATTGCCTCATATATTTAGGTTTCACCCTAAAAGTGAGAATACTACAGTCAGTGTGTTCAGTAGAACAAGCTAGGTATCTTTTTTGAGGAACATACTTTTGAATACAAATGTGACACACTAGAGTCTCTTAGAAATGCCTTACTGGCACAAATGGTCAGTTGCTGGACTGTGAGCCAAAAAGTTGGTGGTTTTCATCTACCCAGAGTCACCTGGCCTGGTACTAGGCTACCAATCTTAGCCTTGAAAACCCTGAGAGCAAATGGGGTTTTCATGAATGGAAACCAACTTGACCACAACTAACAAAGGCAGCAAGTTGACATCCATTGTTACTCTTGCTGTTGGGCTGATGATAAGGATAGTAGGGACATGAGAAGAGTTTCAGTATATTCTAGGTCTGGTTTTTAATATTTATAAATTGGAACCCCTCTTTTCAAATTATATTCATGTTACCTTCTTACTTATTTCAATTTCCTTTCAAAATAAAAACAAATAAATTAATGCATAAGCTAGTGATACCTGTTGGTATCATTCTTTACTATTATTCTCCTAATCTAAATGATTACATTTTTTTGTATCTTAAACCCTTATCCAAGCTTTCCGTGTTCTTTGTTGCTATTGCTTTGTGTTCCCAATCTTCCGTTTAATAATTAAAATTTTAAATTTGGAAATCTGGAGTAATTGGTACTCTCATTAAGAGAATTGAGCCTTAAAGAAGAAATGCACAGGTTAGTGATGGATATTCAGTCTCCTATTACGACAGATTTCTCTCTATGGAGTGTGCTGGACTCCTGGTGTGCCTAATGCTCTGGCTAAGGTGACTTCAAGGTAGTTTGAATGGCAAGATCATAGTTCAAGCTCACTAGCTGCTCCTCGGAAACCCTATACAGGGTTGCTATGGGTTGGAACCAACTTTACATCACTTAACAACACCTAAGTAAATAGTATTGAAGAATACAGCTAATCATTTCATTAGATAATTGAGTAATTTGTAGCCTATGTATACATAGTAGACTATGTAAACAAAAGGCATTTTTAAAAATTTGAATTTATTAAATGTTTTAAATATGCTTTCTTATGAAGTATAGAAGCCAAACCCACTGACATTGAGTTGACTTCAACTCATAGAGACCCTGTGGGTCAGAATACAACTGCTCCCTATGGGTTCTGAGGTGGTATGTCAATCCTTATGGAACCAAAGAGACTCAGTTCTCTCCCATAGAATGGCCAGTAGGTTTGAACAGCCGACCTCAGTTGGAAGCCCAATATTCAACCCACTGCACCACCAGTGTCACTGGCATTTATTTATTTTTGTTTTTGCTTATATTTTCAGGCATTTATAATGTTTGACATTGGCAAGCTCTTTCCCAAAGTTTATATAAGGGGGGAGTTTGATATGTTTAGAGAGGGTTTCTCCAACTTGCTCAAGAGTCTTTATTCATGAACACTGAGCATTACATGACCAATTATCCTTCAGTCCAGTTGTCCTTCAATCTACTGAGTAAGGATTCCTTTGAGAAGCTGATAAAACTATGAATACTCTCCCTAGGTAAATGGCCCACTTTTGAAGACACTGCATATCATGATACTGATTCACAGATAGCCCTGAAGTCTATGCATGGATTTCCCAGTTGAGAGTTTGATCCTGAATATCAAAAGTAAAGATACAGTGATTCACAAAATAGACCTTTCATCAAACTTTTTTTTTTTAGCTAAAGTTAACCACCAAACAAAAAACTCTAAAGAAAAGTTAACTTTTAGAAGTAGTTTATGAATGTTGACCTGTTATTCTGCCAGGAACAAAGGGTGATTTTTACTGAGATGGTGTCATTCCAGGGCATTAGCCTGTCTCCCTGTGCTCCCTCACTATCTACGAACAGGTTCCTAGTGGTCTTTTAGAAGTTAGATTATAAAGAAGCAAAAAATAACCATGACTTGAAGAAGATAAAAACCTATTTCTGTCACAGGAGAAAGCTGGAGGTAGGTGATTCAAAACTCAAAACCACCAAGTTGCTATCAAGTCAAGCCCTTTATAGATTCCTCTTCTGCCATCTGTAGAATGGTTCAAAGTGACTGCCAGCGTTGCAGCCCTCACATCAATGTTCCCGACAATGGGATGAAAGAGGAAACAAAAAACAGGAAAAAGGAAAAATGTTTACTTTCCTTTAAAGATGCTTCCTACAAGAGACACAGCTTACATACAAACATAGATAAAAAATTGTTAAGTGCCGTTGAGTTGATTCCTACTCTAGCCACACTGTATAGGCTTTCTGAGGAATGGCCGGTGAGTTTGAACCACCAACCTTGAGTTTCAAACCAAGCTTGAGGTCCAGTGCATGTCTTTCAGTGCCACACCAGGCCTCCAGGTATAAAGATCAGGCACTTCTTCAAGCCAGAATCGAACCAGCAATCTAAGGACATCCACACATGTCATGTCAATAGTCCTCTACCAACTGAGGTATTGAAGGGTACAATTAAAAATTAGAGAAGGAAAATATATATCAAGTTAATGTAAATCACAAACAGGCATGAGTGGCAATAATACTTTCTGATAAAATAGACTTTAAGGTAAAAACCATCATAAGAGACAAAAAAGGACATTATCTCATGATTGAAGTGTCAATTGAACAAAAGGACATAACCATAATATATATCTATTCTTCCAATAAAAGACCTTCCAAATGCATAAATCAAACTGTAATAGAATTGAAGAAAGAAAGAGACAACTCTACAATAATAGTAGGAGATTTTAATACACCTCTATCAAAAATGAACAGAGTAACTAGAAAATAATTCAACAAAGACACAGAGTAAATAATACAATCAATCAACTTGACCTTAGAGATTTATACAGAGCATTCAACACAACAGCAGCACAATACAGAGTCCTCCCAAGTGTGCAGGAAACGTTCTCCAGAATAGACCATATATTAGTCCACAGAGCAAGTCTCAATAAATGTAAAAACATCAAAATGCTACAAACCATCTTCTCAGACCCCAATGCTATAAAATTAGAAATCAACAATAGGAAGATTAAGGAAACAAAATCAAATACATGGAAACTGAATAATGCCCTGCTTAAAATCTACTGGGTAATAGAACAAGTGAAAAACTAAATTTAAAATTTCCTTAACTCAAATGAGAATGAAAGTACAAATATATACTAAAACTTTTGGGACACAGCCAAAGCAGTACTGAGCAATAGATGCACACATCCAAAAAGAAGAAAGAACCAAAATTAGCACATTAACACAACATCTCCATCAATTAGAAACAGACCAGTAAAGTAAGCCTACACTCACAAGAAAATAAATGAAATATAAAGATTACAGCAGAAATAAATTCAAAAACAATACAAAAGAATGAACAAGACAAAAATTGGTTCTTTGAAAAGATTGTTAACATTGATAAACATTTGGCAAATCTAACTAAAGAAAAGAGGGAGAATGTGTAAAGATACTTCACCTACAAGTTAAAATATTATACTTCTACTTTCACCTCATTGGTCAAAAGTGGTCACATTGCATTACATAGCTGCAAGAGAGGCTGGAAAGGGTACGTTTGTGTTGGACAGCCATATACTCGCATGTTGTTAAGTGTCGTCGAGTTGGTTCCAACCTATAGCAACCCTGTATTTGGTTTCTGAGGAACAGCTGCTGAGCCCGAACCACCACCCTTGTGGTTCAAATTGACTTTGCAGTCTAGCACACTAACCCAACTCTGTTTACAAGTATCAAGGATATGACATTCTAGAAGAGGCATTTCAATATTGACCTTTCCCAAATCTTATATCATTCTAGGGGTTCTGTGTTGCTGCATGGCCTTATCTTGTTGAAGCCTATGGTATGGTCAGAGGGTGGTAAATATGATCTGCTCGGATGCCCATTTGTGTTAGGTAAATGAGTCTTAGTTGCTCCTGTCACGCAGGTACCCACTCAACTGAGAATTACACTCATGGGTTTGGGTGTTTTTGTTTTACCTGGGTTCACTTTCAAATCATACTTAATCTGTATTTTTAATTACCTCCCCCCAATGAGACTCTACCTTAATGTTTGGTATATTTATTCAAAATGAACAAACTTTGTTTTATGTAGTTTGTTATTCCCTGAGCATTCCAGAATATTTTTCTAAGTATGATAAGGAGGTCTCTTGTAGCATGGTGCCCATCTGCATCTCTTTCAGCTCAGTAGCATTTGCCTCTTGAAATTGTTGTCATGAAGAAATACTGTTCTGCTTCCTTTAACACCCATATAACCAAGCTGTTTTCTAAAGTAAGAATGTTGTTGTTGTTAAGTACTGTGGAGTCAGTTCCAACTCACAGCAACCCTGCACAGGGTTTCTGAGGCTGTAAATCTTTACGGGAACAGAAAGCCTCATCTTTTTCCTGTGGAATGGCTGGTAGTTTCAAACTGCTAACTTTGCAGTTAATAGCCCGATTTGTAACCACTATGCTACCAGAGCTCCAAGTAAGAAGGGAGATTTGTTTTTCTGTAAAATTTGCAGGCAGAAACAAGTAATTGGTAATTGTTCATGTAAAATTGGTGGTTGTGCATATATAGGTATGTTAACAAATATGCAGATGCAGGTTCTCTGTTTGCAATGCTGTTTTATATTTTCTGACATTAACTTTCTCCTCATTGCTTTGTATGAATACCATTGACCTGGAATGTGGAATGGTAGGTAGATAGGTTAAGACTTTTTATTAGGAAAGCTGGATTCATATTTTCCTATAACTGAAGTTGCATCATCAAAGCATAATAAAATGGGCATTGGCTTGTGGGGTTTTTTGTCCCCCCTTCAGAACTGAGAATAAAATCAAATCAGT